TGCAAAAAGCTGCTACAATGGCTCCCATTATAAAAGTAGAAACTTACCCCAGCTGGGAAATATAGGGCAGACACTGGAAAAAACTCTTTATCGCATTCTCTTCATCTGACCAGCTAACAAGCTTTACTGGTTTCTTCATTGTCTGTAGTTTCAGCACTTTAAAGAGGATGGACACCTTCCTGTTAGAGAGGTTTATAACCCAGACTGCAGGAACTGATTGAAAAACTGGCTGCAATTCCAGCAGAACATTCCTACGTGATGGATTCTCAGAGTCTTTCAAAAATGAATACAGATCTAGCAGAAAGTCACTCTGTTTTTTTAAATCACCATCAGTGTTTGTGTCACCAGCAAAAGGGAAAGAGGAATAACTGCAGACTGATGAGAGGAGCTGCAGTTTCTTCCCTCCTGTCTCTCTGTCACACTCTGCTGCTTGAAGGAAGAGATTGGCAATGAATCTGATGGCTTCTTCTGTGTAAAAATACCATGCAAAACAGTATCTGTAACACAGTAAGGAGAATGGTTTAGGCAAATTATATCACTTTGCTGTACATAATAAAAACTCAATAAAAACTCAATAAATGCTGTCTGTTCTACCTGCTTGTCTTACGTGTCAAGGTGATGAAAATGGGTCAAGAATGACTGGGATTAAATATCACAAGATCTAAGTCAATCTTGTCATCACTAGTATTCGGCTACCCAACCAGTTTGGGTGGACGCTGTCAGCCCATGATTCCAGAAAAGATTAAAATTGTCAATAAATCATATATTATGAGCTGTGCAGGTGGACTGGAGCCAGGTGTTGAGGCTGAGGATCCTACTGAAACACTCTGCACCACGGTTTAATGTTGGGATGCGACCACTGGAAAAAAACACATTTATGTGCAACACACCCATATTTTGGTGTTTCTCCACTCAAATCCCGCTCTTAAGTTGATGGGAGAATTCTCTTTAGTCAAAGAAGCATGCAGCCATATCATTTTTTTTAAAAACTTAAGTGCATGGGAGAATCGACCCCATAGTAATTTCCCACTTAGTCTATTGAACTTTTTATACATTAATCTTTTATTATTAAAAGATTAATGAATAATCATTATCGGGCATCTTTTATTTATAATTTATCTTATATTTTGTTACGTAATTGAAAATTTGCGGTTCTAAATACGAGGGAAAAAAAATAAACATCATTAAGTACATTGTTACAAGCAGGCGAGTGGACCCGTCAATACTGACAGACGGGGTTTATTTCAGGAACAGGGAGTACACGGGAAGGCACAACAACTAACAGTATACAATGACAGATCTGGGGGATACTGACTTAGACGCGGACTAAATACACAAGACAGGCTGAACTTAACAAGCAACAGGTGATTACAATCCGGAAGTAACACGAGGTAACGAGGGGGGCGTGGCACACACACCGGGCGTGACATACATTTTTTTTGCCGAGTAAATAATTAAAAATGTAAGAAATAGGTCTTTTCCATGTGGTGATTTTATATTAATTATTTATTCATTTAATTTACAGAAAATGTGCTACTTTTTATGTGTATTGTTATCAAGATATGAGATTCTGGTCATATCACCAAGCTCTATATGTGTGTGTTACACTTACCAGCTAATGGCCACAGGATGCAGATTTTAATATTTTTGTCATGACATTACCAACATGCTACTCACAATTCACCAGTAAGTTTGTCTGATAAAAAACATCCGAGGATCACCTCCTTCCATTTCCAGAGCCACTTTCCAAAGTAAATTAAATGGTGTTGTATGTTGTAGCAGTAGGTGGCAACAAATCATTGACCTTTAAGTAACAAGTGGGTCACAAGTCTTACCACTCAAGTTCCAAGTCAAGTCCGGAGTCAAAACAAGCAAGTCTCGAGTCAAGTCTTAAGTCAAGATAGTCTAATATACCAAATAAAGTCCCAAGTCAATAAACCAAAGTCTCAAGTCCTAAGCAATATAAATAATAGTTTAGCCCTATGATCACATATAATGTTAAGTCGTCTGAAAATGTAGTTTGAAACGTAATTGTTGTGTGGGTCTCTGGTCTTAAGTACGGTAACTGTCTAGTGAGCAATAGGGACAAATCTCAGACTGCAAAGTATTGATTAGCACAGGGGTGGCTAATTTTATCCAGAAAGGGCCGTTAGGCATGCAGCTGTTTGCTGCAACTCCGTGCTTAGAGTAGAACGTAGAGGACCGATCGACTGAAGAGTTCGCACAACTGGGTTTGAGCAACTGATCGAACGGTTATCCCAAAAAAAACATGCAATCACACCGGCCCTTTCTGGATAAGATTGCCCACCCCTGTAGTGGCATATGCAGTTAGCGTGTATTGCTTGGTAAAGGATGTTGTGTGCCATATGGTACACTTCACCATATATAGGTAAAAAAAGAGAAATAATAATAATAAAAAAAACATTAATAAAATAAAAAGAAAATAATAAAACCAAAAAAAAATAATAATAAATCATTATCCCTTGTATGTGTACATGTATGTGTGTATTTGTAGCCCTATGCAGACCATTGGATGTTGTGCAGTTTCTTCATTACACACTTAACTTAAGAGGGACAACAGTCGCCTTAGAAAACAGTACAGCATTTTGATGAAGTACTCCTTATTCACTGACAGGTGTCATTGCCATAATGGAGGAGCAGAATGACACTACAGCGGTCAGATACGAATCCATGCCTTTGTTCTCGGGAAATTACGTCTGTAATGTTTGGTTATTACACGCACTTGTGTATTCCAGTCAGCCAGTAACATTCTGTAAGCGACAACGTCGGACCAGGAATTTGTCAGTGTTCGTAGTGTGAGTGAAACACAATGAACTGCAATCAAGCTAATTACAGACGGAGCATTTTTCAGAAAAAGTGTCATAGCTAAAAGTTGTTCTGTTTATCACTCCAAGAAGCGTCACATTATTTTTGCGCAATTGCTAATTTTCATATTACTGGCGTTATGTGACAGAAATTGATGACACAAATACACTCACCTAAAGGATTATTAGGAACACCTGTTCAATTTCTCATTAATGCAATTATCTAATCAACCAATCACAT